TCTGAGGGAGGAGAGGGCCTGGGGGCCAGGACTCCCGGGTCTGAGGGAGGAGAGGGCCTGGGGGCCAGGACTCCCGGGTCTGAGGGAGGAGGGGCCTGGGGCCCCAGGCTCCTGCGTCTGAGGGTTGAGGAGGCTGTGGGTGAAGATTCCTGCATCTGAGGGAGGAGGAGGCTGGGGGCGAGGACTCCTGGGTCTGAGGAGGAGTAAAGGGGCTGGTATCCTGGAATCCTGGATTCAAGTGGTATTCAAGGTGTCAGTGGTGCGATCTTCCAGTCCTCTGGGCACAGTCAGCAGCCAGTTCTGCACACTTTTGCCCTAAAGTTTGATGAGGATTGTAGTATCTTGGGCTTCAAGCCATTCAGGGGCCTTGGGTTGTTGATGGTATGAATGGCACCTGAGTACAGGAGGAAGCTCAGGTGAGGACCTGTCCTATGTGCTTGAGAGTGTGAAGTTGCTTCGCCTTGAGCCACACACAAGAGTGTTGAGAACCTGGAGGATGTCTGTGGGGAAGGGGACCTGGCTGGGGGTCCAGAGGCTGGGGATCTTGTCATGGGATTGTTTGGGCCATTTTCATATTTCAGCACCTAATAGTGCGGATGCTCAGTAGGTTATCACTTGAATGTTTGAATGAATGAATGAATGAATGCATGAGCTCTGTAAAGGAGAGACTGGGTACATTGGCCCTGGCACTTGCTTGAGAAACATCTGAATGAAGAAGGGATGTGGCCTTAGTTTGGGGGTTGAATTGGGCTTCCGGCTACCTTGGTTCCCATAGTGACCCTGGTCAGGATGGAGGAGGGGTGGGGGCGATAGTTACTGGTGTGGGGGGTGGGTTGGAATTTGAGTCTGTGGCTGCTGCCATGGCAAAGGGGGTGGATTGGGGAGCAGAAGCAGAAGAAGAAAGGTAATGGCCACACTCCTGAGACCCAATTCCCATGGACATTGATGAAGTATTGGAAGTTTGAGGGGATAGTGGGTGCCGAGTTTTAAAATGACCTCTGCTTCCATGGGGTCAGTGGGCAGCACAGCGTAGGGGAGGCTTCTGGTAAAAAGGAAGGCCTCGTAGGAGGCAGGTCTGTTTGTGTTGGGATGGCTCAGAGTTGGGATTTCTGGATCCATGCCCATTTATTGCCGCAAACAGGGTCTGATAGGATGTGTCGCGACGTGTAGGGGTATGTTCTGAGTCTTCTGATGGTGTTTGGGACCAGTGTCCACTGCTCTTGGTTCTAGCCTTTTATGAGAGGATAGGTGGGAGGGAAGCTTGTGACCATGTGGTGGCTATGGTCTAAACTCCAGAGACGAGGCTTCCACTGGGTTGGATGCTTTCCTCTCCTCTCCTGGTGGAAGAAGAGAGACCTGTGGGAGGGAAGAAGGGTTGGGGGCAGGTGACCAAGGGACTGGGTCAGCAGGCTGGCTGCTTAGGCTTTCCTTTCCTTTACTAGAAATCGTGAGGGGCACCTGACTCAGTCAGTGGAGAGCAGGTGACTCTTGATCTCAGGGTCATGAGTTCAAGCCCCACGTTGGGTGTAGAGATTCCTTACAGAAATAAACTTAGAAAGAAAGAAATTGCGAAATACTCCAGTGTCAGGTAATAATACAGCCTAGGACCCACCACCCAGATTTTTTTTTAACAGCCTTACTGAGATATAATTCACATACCATACAATTTTTTTTAAAGATTTTTTTTTTTATTTATTCATTTGATAGAGAGAGACACAGCGAGAGAGGGAACACAAGCAGGGGGAGTGGGAGAGAGAGACGCAGGCTTCCCGCGGAGCAGGGAGCCCGATGTGGGGCTCGATCCCAGGACCCTGAGATCGTGACCTGAGCCGAAGGCAGACGCTTAACGACTGAGCCACCCAGGTGCCCCTCACATACCATACAATTTACCCATTTAAAGTGTATGGTTTAGGGGAGCCTGGGTGGCTCAGTCGTTAAGCGTCTGCCTTTGGCGCAGGTCATGATCCCGGGGTCCTGGGATCGAGTCCCACATCAGGCTCCCTGCTCGGCGGGGAGTGTGCTTCTCCCTCTCCCTCTCCACATATGTGCTCTCTCAAATAAATAAATAAATAAATAAATCTTAAAAAAAAAAATAAAGTGGGGCGCCTGGGTGGCTCAGATGGTTAAGCATCTGCCTTCGGCTCAGGTCATGATCCCAGGGTCCTGGGATCGAGCCCCACGTCGGGCTCCTGGCTCAGCGAGGAGCCTGCTTCTCCCTCTGCCTCTCTCCCTGCTCATGCTTTCTCTCTCTGTATCTCTGTGTCTCAAATGAATAAATAAAATCTTTTTAAAAAAATAAATAAATAAAGTGTATAGTTCAGTGACTTTTAGTATGTTCACAGTTGTGCAACTGTCAGCTCAATCAGTTTTAGGACATCTTGATCCTCCCAAGAGGGAAACCCTGTAGGTAGCTCTTGGCCATCATCCCCTACTCCTCTCATACCCCCTAGCCCTAGGCCACCACCAGTATACTTCCTGTCTCTATGAATTTGCTTATCCTGGACATTTCATGTCAGTGAAATCATACTATATGTGACCTTTTGTGTCCACTTTCTTTCACTTCGCATGATGTTTTCAAGGTTCATCCACACTACAGCATATGTTGGAACTTTCTTTCTTTTTATGGCTGAATAATATTCCAAGTGTGGACGTAACCACGTTTTGCTTATCCATTCATCCGTTGATGGACATTTTGGATTTTCCCACCTTTTGGCTTTTGTGAATAATGCTGCTGTGAACACTTGTGTGAACCTTCTGGGGGTTCTCGAATTGTCCCAGGGGTACTTATCTCTCTCCCCTATATGAGAAGAAATGGTGGCTGGCTCCTCTTTTCATAGAGCTGGGGACACCAGAGGACTCAGTCCCTGCTTGTTGAATCAACTCAGACATCATTCCTCCAAACCCCAAATGTTGAACCCCAAGTGAACAAGCAAGATGTGGGCTGTGCCCTTCACGGGACTCCCATCCACTGGAGCCGAGAGCACTGATCGGACAGTCTCCCTCCTAAATGTGAGATTACACAGGGAGATCGGGCTCCCAAGGGAGACCTTTCATTCTGTCCAGACATCCAGAGACCCTGGAACGAGTCAGGCTGGGCAGAGGCCAGGGAGGGCCTCTCTTCATGAGCGTCGCTTGATCTCATTCAGTGAGGGAGGCGGGGAGAGCAGGCTGGGCTCTGGGACATGTGCATGCAAAGGCCTAGTGACAAGAGATTCAGGCAGCGCAGTGTAAGGGGGCTGGGCAGTTGGGGGCCAAGCATTGGTGTCTGTCCTTCCAATCATGGGAGCTGGGAGTTCTTCTTCCTTCACCAAATAATTCCTGGGCACCAAATAATGTGCTAGGCCCTGGGGACAGAACTGTAAATGAGACAGACACAGTCCTTGTCTTTCTGGGACTCAGTGTACTGGGGTCAACCAACCAGTATCAGCTGGTGACAAACGAGAAGGGTGGGAGTGACGGATGTTTGGGCTCTTGGCCCACCTGTGGGGAAAACGAATGGAGAGGACTGCCTCCCGGGACATGGGCGGGAGGGACAGAGGAGGAGGTGGTGAAAACTGGGATCATCTGACTCTTCTGACATGTCTTCATCCGTTCCCAGACGGCCACAACCAAGGTCCCAGAGATCCGAGATGTGACGAGGATTGAGCGTATCGGTGAGTGAGCACGTCCAGACCCTGCCTGCCCACAGCAGAGCCAGCCTGCCCAGGAGCCCTGATGTTTGCTGAGTGCCTGCTGGGCTTGGCCCAGAACTGACTGTCCCGTGCACTCAGCACACACCGTGGCATCAGCTCGATGAGGGCAGGGACGAGGTCTGGCTCATTTCTGGCTATGCGCTAAACAGATAACCAGCAGACGCATGAGTTCATGACCTGCCAAGTGCTCACAGCCATCCCGGGAGATGCACATAGCGACTTGGGATGTGTTTTAGCCGAGGAAACCAAGACTCAGAGCAGTCAAGCCACTGGTCCCGGCTCACACATGGAGTAGGCTGTGAATCCAGGAGCACGAAGTTGGGGTGTAGTGGGCCAGAAGGGTGTAGGCTCCACAAAGAGCTTTACCTGCGTGAGGAGACTGTACTCGTTCGTGCACATTCGTTCACTCAGTGCCTACAAGAGAGGCCCTGAAGTAAAGAGCTTGTGGCTAGGAACATGGGTTCTGGAGGCCCGCTGCTGGGGACCACTTCCGTTGCAAGAGGCTAGTTGCTTTTGGTGTCCTTATCTGCAAAATGGAGCCAAGGTGGTTCACCTCATCAGTTGATATAAGATTCCATAAGGTCAGGGCATATAAAGCCCTTAAAGTGCAGAGGCCAACACTGTTTTCAGCTATCAGAGGGCCAGGTGCTGTTGGAGCTGAGGACCCCCTAGACACTAACTGCACCCAGCACCTGGCCTCAGGGTGCTTACAATGTAGCGCTGGGGTCAGCAAATCTTTTCTTAAAGGGCCAGACGGTAAACTCTTCTCTGTGGAAAATACTCAGTTCTCCTGTTGCAGTGTGAAAACAGCCACAAGCAGTGTGTAAGGGAATGGGCATGGCGGTGTGCCGATAAACGTTTCTTTGCAAAAACAAGTGACTGGCCCACAGGCTATAGTTTGCCCAGCCCCGGTCCAGTGTGAAACATTGAAATCCCATGTCTTTACCTCTTGCTGGGCTGTGTGGTCTTGGACAAGGGGCCTGACCTCTCTGGGCTCCCTCCTCAACTTCATGTCGGTGAGGGCCTGAGGAGGTTATTGAACCCCAGAAGCACTCTAGGGTGGTAATAGCTAGCACTCTGTTTCTCAGGGTCACGTGGAATGAAATAAGAATCTGTGGGGCCCCTTAGGCTATAAACATAACGTAATTGTGATCGTCAGCTGTCACGGTTAGATCCTGATCTGATGATGTGGTTAACCAGGTCTCGGTGATTCTGGGCCACTATGCTGTATCCTAAGGGCAGCTCCAGTTTATTAAGCATTTACCCCAACCAGTCATCCTCCCAGTGAGGTAGAGACTCGGACCGCCCCCATCTGACCAAGGAGGAAACCAGGGCTGAGAGACGAAGTCCCTTTCCTCAGGCCACACATTATCCCGAGCTGGCTGGTAACTGTGTCTTCTGGTTCTTTCCCCTGACACAGGCGCACACTCCCACATCCGGGGGCTGGGGCTGGACGATGCCTTGGAGCCACGGCAGGTAGGGCTGAGGGCGGTGGGGTGGGAAGACTGATCCAGGGAGGCCTCAGGCACGGGGTCCCCAGGGCCCCAGGGAGTGTAGGGTCTCCCAGACCTTTGGCTGCCTATCTATAAAATTTAACCACGTGTAGAGCTTTATTAGTTTTATGTTTATTTATTTATATATATATATATATTTTTTTTGGTGCAAAATGGTGGTTTATTAAAGCACGGGGACAGGACCCGTGGACAGAAAGAGCAGCTGCCCCGAGCTTTATTAGTTTTAAAAAAAATTGGGGTGGAAAAGGTTTTGGGGTTTTTTGTGTTTTTTTTAGCTTTTTCCTGAAGTCCTAGCCAACAGCATGCCCTTTTGTCTCCCTGGCCTGGTTGGAGGTGGGGGAAATGGGGTGGCAGCCCAGTAGGAAGTCCCCTGGTGTGCTCTCGCCTCCCACCCCACAGGCTTCCCAGGGCATGGTGGGGCAGCTGGCAGCCCGACGGGCAGCTGGTGTTGTGCTGGAGATGATCCGGGAAGGGAAGATCGCGGGGCGGGCGGTGCTCATCGCTGGCCAGCCGGGCACCGGGAAGACGGCCATCGCCATGGGTAAGAAGCTTCTCGGGGCAGGAGCTCTTCTACCAGACAATCCTTACTGTGTAAATCCAGGTTGGGTTCAGCCACATTTAACAGATAGCCGCAAATGGCAGGGGCGTAAACACTCTGGTTCATTCTCTCACATAGAAGCATCTGAACGTAGGCCACCTAGGGCTTGTTGAGCAGTTCCATAAAGTATTCTGCCTTCCCACCTCAACATCCTCTGTACTTGCTTCCATGTCAGGGTCACCTCATGTTCCAAGAGGGTTGCCTAAGCTCCAGCCTTCCCACCCATACTCTCGTGTAGGAGGAAGGAGAAAGGCATCTTGCAGTGATTTTGTACCTCCCTCCCTTTGAAGGTAGTTCCCTTTAAGCAGCAGTCTTGGGACTCCCACACACTTTTGCTTATCTTATTGACCAGAACTTAATCGTATCCTAACATTCTGCTGCGACGTGATGAGACATTAGCACATTTCTTTTTTTTTTTTTTTTTAAGATTTTTATTTATTTGACGGAGAGAGACACAGCAAGAGAAGGAACACAAGCAGGGGGAGTGGGAGAGGGAGAAGCCGGCCTCCCGCCGAGCAGGGAGCCAGATGTGGGGCTCGATCCCAGGACCCTGGGATCATGACCCGAGCCAAAGGCAGATGCTTAACGACTGAGCCACCCAGGCACCCCACATTTCTTGTTTTAATGTGGACCGTTGCTTCTTTAGTGAAGTGGGGGTCCTGGGCCAAACATTGGGGACACTTAGATGAGTAAGACCGAAGCCTTGACTTTAGGGAGTTTCTAGTCTTGGGGACACAGTTCCTTCCAGGGTGGTGTGTGCTGTAATGGACAGAGGAGCCTCCTGACCCTAATGAGGGAGCAGGGAGGGATGCAGTGACAGTTATCAGGAGAGCCCTCCCAGATAAGTCAGGCCCTGAGCCAAGACTTGGAGGGTGTCTGGGAGTCTGCCGGGCAGACGATAGGAAATGGGATTGCCCGGCACAGAGTGTAGCCCACGTCTGTAAAGGGGACCAGGAAGAGTCCCCACCTCACACTGGTTGGAAGGGTTCAGTGACTTCCTGTCTGTGAGACTCGGCGTGGTGCTTGGAGTGACCGCAGGATCAGCCCCGCTGTCTGCCAACCAACCCCAGGCCAGACAGAAGACCCGTCCCTGGGCTGGTTCCCGGTCATGTGACAGGTTCATGGTTGAGCACCAGTGCCTGCCTGCCGCCCCCAGATCACTTCTCTGCAGGGTGCCTCCCACGCCAGCACTTGTTCTGTTGTGGTCCCCATTCTACCGAGAGACAAACAGGCTTGGAGCAGACAAGGCTTCTCAGGATCACACGGTGCTAAGCGGTGGAGCCAGGATCCGAACTTAGGTGGTCTGGCTTTGGAGCCATCACCCTTGACTTTTTTTTTTTTTTTTTTTTAAGATTTTATTTATTTATTTGACAGAGAGAGACAGCGAGAGAGGGAACACAAGCGGGGGGGGGGGGGGGGGGAGAGGGAGAAGCAGGCTTCCCGCCAAGCAGGACCCAATGCAGGGCTCAGTCCCAGGACCCTGGGACCATGACCTGAGCCGAAGGCAGATGCTTAACAACAGAGCCACCCAGGCGCCCCCACCCTTGACTATTTCAACCCTCTTTGTGCCTCTACTCCTGCTCATTACCCCCGAGCCTGGAGGCTGAACAGCTCCTAGAGGTTGGGAGACAGGTGTGGCAAGATTATAGGGTCATGAAGTTGGCCCTCTGGGCAGCATGGGGTTCGAAACCAGGCCTCCCTACGCAGCCCGCCGTCCCTAGCTTTCTCCGCGTCTCCGTGTCTGCCCCCAGCGCTGAGCCCATCTCAACTTACACTCCTTCCCGAGGAGGGAGAGAGCTGGTTTGCCCCAGAGTAGGTGTTGCGTGGTGCCAGGCTGCGCCCACCTACCCAGACCACCTGTTCCCCAGGCATGGCACAGGCCCTGGGCCCTGACACCCCGTTCACAGCCATCGCGGGCAGTGAGATCTTCTCGCTGGAGATGAGCAAGACAGAGGCGCTGACACAGGCCTTCCGGCGGTCTATTGGCGTTCGCATCAAGTAAGCACAGGACCCAGCTCAGGGGATGGAGCCAGCTCCCAGTGGCCTCGGGATGACCCCTGTCCTATTCGACTTGTTCTCTGCCCGAGGGCTCATGGGAGTTAACCATTCCCGAGGGCCCAGGCATTGGGCTCTCTGCTCACACCTGTTCTCTGCCTAGGGAGGAGACTGAGATCATTGAAGGGGAGGTGGTGGAGATCCAGATTGACCGGCCAGCGACGGGCACGGTGAGTCTGCTGTGAGCCTAGGCCTCCTCCAGGACTGGAGGGTGGGGCGGCAGAATCCGTGGAATGTTTGAGCTACAGGTTGGGACCCCTCTATGTGCCTACAGTGGGGGGGTCGGTAGAGTGACAGTTTATCCACTTTCGAGTGACATCGTGAGCAGTTAAAACCAAGTGGTATCATGATAGAGAAGGTCTGGAAGTTTCTCACAGTTCATTCTATTTTTTTTTTTAAGTTTTATTTATTTAAGTAATGTCTACGCCCAACACGGGGCTCGAACTCACAATCCCCAGATCGAGAGTCGCATGCTCTTCCCACTGAGCCAGTCAGGCGCCCCCTCTTAACAGTTAATTCTTTTTTTGGTGCAAAATGGTGGTTTCATCAAGCATGGGGACAGGCCCTGTGGGCAGAAAGAGCTGCTGAACTCTCTCACAGTTAATTCTTAAAGGTCAGGCTTAAGAACCTGTTCTGTGAGATTTTATGCAGCTTAGCACTAAAAGGCATTTCCTATCCAGCTTATGTGGTCGTTGTGATTCGCTCCCTTTTTTTTTTTAAGCTGAGAATAAAAACATCCTTATAAAATAAAACAGATGTAAAGAAGTATGTAAAATAATCGTGTGGTTAGTAAGTTATTATAAAGCAAATCCCCTTAGAACCACAATCAAGATAAAAAAGTAGAACTTTGCCCGGCCCCCAACCCCTGGCAGCCCCAGATCTGCTTCCCATGTCCGTGGATTTGCCGGTTCTAAGTGGTTCTTACACACGGGGTCCTGCAGCAGGGGACTTGCCGCGGCTGGCTTCTCTCACCTGGTGCCGGGGTCTCCAGGCTGTGCTTTTCTCCGTCTGTAATTCTCCTTTACACGTTACGTTGTAGTTGGTGGTAACATGCCAAATAATGGAAAGCTTGAACATGCTTCAAGCCTGTTGACGTCACGCCGAGTCACCTTCTGTTCCTGTGTCTAGTCCTGTGGACACAGTCCTCTTCTTCCATTTGCTCGTCATTCTCAATGGAGATAGGTTTCAGATGCATGATTGCATTGACTTGCAATTTTTTTCTTAAAAAAGATTTTATTCGTTTATTTTAGAGAGTGAGCAAGAGAGGTAGAGCACGAGCCGGGGGGTAGGGGTGGAGGGAGAGGGAGCAGCAGACGCCCCGATGAGCAGGGAGCCTGACGACAGGCTCGGTCCCAGGACCTTGGGATCATGACTGAGCAGAAGGCAGATGCCCAACTGACTGAGCCCTCCAGGCGCCCCTCAACTTGCACTTTTAACCCCTGTCCACAGTCTCCTAAATTAGTCCCATCCATCGGCAATTATGTTTTGAATTTTAAAAATATGATAGGAGAATATTTAAACATAGAGAAAGCCACTTCCAAGATAGTTCTTTTATTGTGGTTTTTTTATTTTGTTTATTTATTTATTTATTTATTTAAAGATTTTATTTATTCATGAGAGACGGACAGAGAGAGAAGCAGAGGGAGAAGCAGGCTCCCAAGGAGCAGGGAGCCCGACGCGGGGCTCAATCCCAGGACCCTGGGATCATGACCTGAGCTGAAGGCAGACGCTTAACCATCTGAGCCACCCAGCCGCCCCAGTGTTTTTTTATTTTAAAGTAAATTCTACCCCCAACATGGGGCTGGAACTCAACAACCCTCAGATCAAGAGTCGCATGCTCCTCTGACTGAGCCAGTCAGGCGTCCACCCCCCACAAAATAGTTTTGATTTTATTTTATTTATCTTTTTATTTTTTTAAGTAGGATCCACGCCCAGCATGGAGCCCAACGTGGGGCTCGAACTCACGACCCTGAAATCAAAACCTGAGCTGAGATCAAGAGTCAGACACTTAACTGACTGAGCCACCCAGGCACCCCACAAGATAGTTTTAAGTTAGATTTCTATTACAGAAGAAATCCATGGCTGCATCCTCCCTTCAAAAATGTAAAACCAGGGGCGCCTGCCTAGCTCAGTCGGTGGAGTGTGCTTCATCTCCGGGGTCATGAGTTTGAGCCCCACGTTGGGTGTAGAGATTACTTAAATAAATAAATTAATTAATTAATGTATAAAAAATACACAGGGCTCTAAGGTAGGCAAGCTGACCCTCAAGACCACAGAGATGGAGACCATATACGACCTTGGCACCAAGATGATTGAATCCCTGACCAAGGACAAAGTCCAGGCCGGGTGAGTGGCAGGGGGCCACACTGGGTGGCCAAGGTGGGGGATCTTGGGCCCTTTCCTGTCCTCACTCCCACCCTCCTTCCCCCCCACCCCCGCCACCTGCAGGGATGTGATCACCATTGACAAGGCCACGGGCAAGATCTCCAAGCTGGGTCGCTCCTTCACACGTGCTCGAGACTATGATGCCATGGGCTCTCAGGTGGGCCAGGGCTCTGGGGGTCCCCGTGCTCCAGGCACCAGGATGTTTGCATCTCCTCCATCACCCCCATGGCTCAGAGGGTCTGGATCCTCCAGTCACCCCAACCCCATGTCCCTGGCACTCCTGGTTCTTCCCTGTACCGTCTGGGACAGCCAAGGCCCTTCAGCTTGGCCCGTTTGCTCATGGTTTCCGAGGTCCTCCGGGAACCCCCAATCCTGCAGTGCTCTTGCATCCCCTAGTGATGACTACTCTTGGACCTGGGGTTTCTGGATTCTCAGCTCCATTCCAAGGAGTCCGGAGTCCGATCTCCCCCTACACAGGCCTCTTTGAGCTCTCCTTCAATGCTCTTCTCCACCCTTGTCTCTTCCTCCTGCCCCCCCGCCCCCCCGCCCCGGCTCCATAGACCAAGTTCGTGCAGTGTCCAGATGGAGAGCTCCAGAAACGCAAGGAGGTGGTCCACACCGTGTCCCTGCATGAGATTGATGTCATCAATTCCCGCACACAGGGCTTCCTGGCTCTCTTCTCAGGTGAGGCCCCTCAGACTGGTGCTCTGTGCAACCCCCCTTCCTCGCCCTCTCGCACAGCCCCCTGGTTCGTGGCTCCCACTCTGTTGCTGTCAGTCCCTCTCTCGGGTGGTCCGGCGGGGGCCTGCATGTCCCGCCCTCTCTCCTTCCTGGGTTCTCTGTCTCTGGTCCTCCTTCTGTCTGGGATGTTTGGGCCTCCCACCCTTCTGTCCCTTTGCCACTCCAGTCTTGGTCCCTCTTCCCTCCGTCTCTGGTGTCCTGTCTTTCTCTGTCTGTGTCCATGCTCCGGCCCTGGGTCCCTGTTTCCTGCCTGATCCTCCCCGCGCCACCCCTGCCTCCCTCAGGCGACACAGGGGAGATCAAGTCAGAAGTGCGAGAGCAGATCAATGCCAAGGTGGCTGAATGGCGTGAGGAGGGCAAGGCAGAGATCATCCCTGGGGTGAGTACTGGGGCATGGCCGGGGCGGGCGGTTTGTGGTGGTGGGAAATAGGAGGAGAGAGGCTCAGGTGGTGGGTTTGACATACTCCCCAACGGCTCTCAGGTGCTGTTTATCGACGAGGTCCACATGCTGGACATTGAAAGCTTCTCCTTCCTCAATCGGGCCCTGGAGAGTGACATGGCGCCAGTCCTCATCATGGCCACCAACCGTGGCATCACCCGGTAAGCCAGTTGCTGGCCCCCTCAAAGGCCTCTGGGAAAATGGGTTGCTCCAGGCGGTGGGTGTAGGCACAGGGTAACCAGGGCATGTTTGTGGAGCTCCCTGCTAGGAGGGGTATGGGCTTAGGTGTTGCAACAAGGCTACCCCCAAGTACCGGGGCCCAGACAGAAGGCTGTGCTTCTCCCTCAAACAAGGTAGGCGGATGCTCAGGGCGGGTAGGCAGGCAGCTCTGCTCCGTAAGAACACTGAGGGACCATGTTCTTTCTGTCTTTGTTCCCGGAACCCCTGAGGCTACAGTTCCCAAACCGTGTGCCGAGGCATCCCAGCGTGCCGCAGAAGACACAGAGTGCTGTGGAATGGTTTAAGTTTCTGAGGGATGCACAGAGATGTGTGTTGGACACTGCATAAATCACTACGCTTAGTTCACTTTGCCCTAACCACTTTACAGAACAGAGCTTAATATTACTTTTGGCTTAAGAATGCCTGGGAAACATTCCCGAGCCATGAAGCGCCCCAGGTTCTGGTAAAGCTTGGGAACCTCTGCCCTAGGGTGTTGCCAGCACCCCTCGCCCTGTTGTCCCAGCTGGCCTTCTCTGCCTCGTCTGTGTATGGGCGGACAGGGAGGAGGAAGTGGGGGGTAAACAGCCCCCGGGAGGCTGAGGCCTGTCATCACTGCAGGGGGCAAATGGGCAGATTGTTCCTGGCTTGTTTCCCGGGTGAGCCGCTTAGACCCTTAAAATAAGCTCGGGAGGTGGATATTGTCTCAGCCCCATGTTACAGATGAGGACAGCTAGGCCCCGTGACGTGCACGGAGAAGGTGTCAGGGCCAGAGTTGGATCTCTGAACCAGGATGGGGAGAGACCAGCCGAGGGCGGGGTGCCTCCCGGGCCAGGCCACAAACCCAAGTCACTCCTCGTTATCTGCACATCATGTATTTGGGAGTCTGCATCTTCTCACTAACATTGATTTGTAAAACCCATCCCCCCCCACCAATCAGTACTGGCGACACTCTGGTGCTCTGGTGCAGACATGCGCGGAGAGGCAACACATTTGAGTCGCCCGATATGGACACTCCAAACCAAGGTCTTGCAAGGTGACACCCTGCCTGCCTTCTGGTTTCAGCTCACCTGCTGTAAACGAGTGTCCTTTTCCTGATCTGTTTAGTGTCGCATTTGCCACATTTTATGCTTTTTATTGGGGATTTCGTGTCTAAAGGGACCCGTCGCTGTCCAGTGTCCCTAAGCAAAAGGCTGGGGTGGCTGCGCCTCATAGAGAAAGTGCGTCTGTGTTAGATGAGCTTCATTCAGGCCTGATGTAGACTGTTAGCCGTTAGCCATGAGTTCAAAGGGGGTGAGTCAATGACGTTTGTTAAATAAGATGTCTTTAAATAGAAACACGTAGAACCAAGTTACATGTTGGTTGGTTGACAAAAATATTGTGATCAAAGGCTCACAAGAACTTAACCATGTACGTCCCCGAGAAGCGGTGGTGCATCATTTGCTGCTGAGCGTTTGCCCCACTTTATAGAACGTAAATACCATGAATAATGAGAATCCACTCTATCTCCTGGGCCCTGTGCTGGGCCGGGTGCAGCAGGGAATAGGACCGGCAGTCTCTTCCCTCTGGAGCTCTACGTCACGCAGAGGAGTGGGACCTTGATTCAGTAATCCCAGATAGAGATACCTAGCTAAAACCAACCCAGCCCTGTGGGGGAGTGACGCAGCTGGGGGGCGGCTGCACCGTCGGTGGTGATAGCAGCCATGAGCTGAAGGTTAAATGGTATTTGCCCAGTGAGTGGGCTGTGGTGGGGGTGGAGAGGAGAGGAAATGGAGAGCTGGTTCTGGGAGCATCTCCCTGACAGCCCTCCTTACCCCCTCCTCCCCAGGATCCGGGGTACCAGCTACCAGAGCCCCCATGGCATCCCCATCGACCTGCTGGACCGACTGCTCATCGTCTCCACCTCTCCCTACAGTGAGAAGGACACAAAACAGATCCTCCGCATCCGGTATGGGCAGAGCCGCTGGTGTTCTGGGGCAGGACCAGGCTGCGGGCCTGCGAGGCGGGGCTGGCACCCACCCTGTTTGGCAAGTGGGGGCAGCAAGGTCTGAGGGGGAAGGTGTCTGGGTCTGCAGGAGGTAGGGCTGGGCTGCACATCCAAGTAATGGCCTCTGATCTGGGGGTGGGGAAAGAGCCCTGGCTGGGGAGGGTCTGGGGGCCCAGGCTGCAGGCCCAGGCTCTGCCTCAGTGGCACAGCGTTCTGTGGTTCTGAGGACATAGACTTCACATGTCCCCCAGGATGTCCCACAGTGCCCCGGGGAGAAGGGCCGGTCAGGCGCCCTGGCCCTGGCTGACACCCCACCCCCACCCCCGCACCTGCCCACAGGTGTGAGGAGGAGGACGTAGAAATGAGTGAGGATGCCTACACGGTGCTGACACGCATTGGGTTGGAGACCTCGCTGCGCTACGCCATCCAGCTCATCACGGCTGCCAGCCTAGTGTGCCGGAAACGCAAGGTCAGCCAGTGAGCCGTCAGGGCCAGCCCGAGTGAGTGAGTGAGTGAGTGCCCCACTCACTGCTCCAAGGGCTCGGGGTGCATTGTTGGATTTAGTCCCGGAACAGGGGTTTTCAAAGGCCGGAAACTTGGGTCTGTGGAGTTTATACCTGTATTTCCTGGCCTGACACATAGTAGGTGCTTCGTAGATGTCTGTCAGCTCCAAGTTAATGCCATCCAGTCCGTCTTCCAGATGAAGAAACCCAGGACTGGAGGGGTTGGGCCCTCAGCCGGGAGGTGGCCAAGGCAGGATTCGAACCCAGGCAGTCTGGCTCCAGAGTCCCCATCCTGACCCACCTCCCAGAGAGGGGCCCCACTGAGGTCTGGCCGTCCCCCGTCAGGGCACGGAAGTGCAGGTGGATGACATCAAACGGGTCTACTCGCTCTTTCTGGACGAGTCGCGCTCCACGCAGTACATGAAGGAGTACCAGGATGCCTTTCTTTTCAATGAGCTCAGTGAGTGTCCCCTGCTGCGCCTGTCCCCAGGGTCACCCACCCCGGAGGGCAGGCGGGTATCTGATCTGGAGATCTCAGGCCCTGCCCCCTGGGCCACACTGACCACCTGGCCTTCCTTCTCCCCACAGAAGGTGAAACCATGGACACCTCCTGAGCTGTCACCCTCTCCCCACCCCACCCCACCCTGTTTTCTACTAGAGTTCTGACACTGTAACTTTGTATAAAATGGTTCTGAAACTGGACCCATTCTCTCTGTCTCTTTTTTTTTTTTAGAGAGAGAGAGCTCACGGATCGGTGGGGGTGGGGTGGCAGTAGGGGCAGAGGGAGAGGGAGAAAGAGAATCTTAAGCAGGCTCCAGGACACCCGGCGTGGAGTCCAGTGCGGAGCTATTCCCACGACCCTGAGGTCATGATGCCCCGAGCCGAAATCAAGAGCCAGACACTTAACGGACTGAGCCGCCCAGGCGTCCCTGAAACTGGACCCATTGTGTGTGTGTGTGTGTGTGTGTGTACACACGCGTACATGTGCCTTGAGCCTGACAAAAGACAACCTGAGTGCAGTTTGAGAAGCCTTTATTATTAGGAGGGGAGGAAGGAAGCATCTGCTGGCTCCAGGAGTTGGGCTGTGGGGGGGGAATCCTCAGAGGAACAGGAGGCCCGGGAGTGGGGGGCGGTCACAGGCCAAGGGTTGGGCTCTGGGACCCCCACAGTCGGAGTTGCTGAGGCGGCAGGGCCCGCAGCGACAGCTGAGGGCCACAGGGAAGGAGACCATGGGATCCACGCCAGGCGGGCATCCAGGGAGCCGGATGGAGGCGAAGCGCAGCTCGCGGTACGTGCACACCGGCTGGGGCACAGGCGGCAGGGCGGCCGGCAGCACTCGCACCTGTGGGCCAGGGGGTGGGGGATGGGGGTGCGAGGCTATCCACCTGTGGTCGGGGCCCCCCCCCGCTGCCCTCCACAGGTCGCAGACTCAGGTGTCCAGCAGACCCCCTGTGCTCTCCCTCCCTCCCACATGCCCAGCTCAGACTCCCCAGTTCCCCAGCCCCTGCCCAGGGGGCAGGCCACCCTTCCATCCCGGCTGCCGCTTCCCATCTGATGTGGGCCCGGACCTGAGTAACCCACCAGAGCTGAGGTGGCAGCACCTGTTCCCACTCCAGCAGGGCTGCCCTCCCCCCGCCCCCCGCCAGCTCACCAGGCTGGGGCAGTAGCCGGCACAGATGGTGGTGGTGAAGGTGATACAGACCGGGCAGGCCTCGTTCTCGGCAGCCAGGGTGGCGTTGATGGGCCGGCACAGCGGCCGTAGTGGCCCCCTGGATGCCCACACCCCACCCACGTTCAGCAGCAGCCACAGCAGCAGCCCCTGGGACAAGGCCAGAGTCTCAGGGCCAGCCAGACCCTTCTACCCTGAGCCCTTGCCCTCCCATCCCCCACACAGACACCTTGGGGACCCAGCTCCCCTGCCTGGCATCTTCCATTCGGGACCATCCCTCCCACTTGGATCCCCCGTTCCAGTACTCAGGAGTCCCAGGTACTCCCAACACTGCAGATTCCTACCCTCGGGCCCTGCTCCACCTGCTGCCCTCCTGGCGGGAAGCCTGCTGGCCGTCCACACCCTTCTAGAAGGAAGCCTCCTCCATCAGGTCACAGGACTCTCCCTCTTTGTGCTAGCTGTGGCCTGGATGGAGTTGCAAGGTGCCTAGGGGCGTCTTACAGTCTTACCTGGAGCATCTCCATTCTCAGTGCCTCCCCTATCATGTTTACCTGGTCTTATACTTGCAGGCTGTGGGGGCGGCAAGGCCACTGGGGGTGGCGGCATGATGGGGTAACCTGGACACTAATCTTTCCGGGGGCGAGAAGCAGAAAAGGTCAGGGAGGTGTGCAGGAGTGGCTCTGTGGAGTGCCCCTTACCCCCACTCCCTGAGTGGCTCCCACACCAAGAAGCGGGAGACGCCCAAGGTGAAGCTGACTTCACGGACTCAATCCTCAAGTGCTAGCGAAGTCGTGCTGCGGTCACAGGCAATAGGCTACGGGGAGCCCTTGGCCTTGCCCCCGGCGGGGTAGCCTCGCCTCTGCCCATCACGGTGGGAGCCAGGGGAAGGCTGAAGGTCGCCCCTTCTAAGGACCCTCGAATGGTGATCCCCTGAGCCCTCAGCCCCCCTCCATCTGCCATAGACTGAAAACCACTGTGCCAGTCTAACCTCTTCTGGGGGGCGTGGCTTCAATATTGGATTCTGTGCCCAGAGGCGGGGTTCCACCTGCACGCAGACGTGCCTTCCTTCCACGAGTGATTCAGCGGGAGCCGCATCTCCCCCGCACTCAGGCCCCCAGAGCCGAACCCAGCAATGGGCACGGTTTAGGCTATTTAACTCTGTCGTTGACTAAGAAGCTCCGCCCCCTCTGTCGCTGAGGACGTGTCCCGCCCGCGAGCCCACAGCCCCAAGGTACATTTTCCCGGCTCAGCTCCCACCTCCCTCCCCGACCGGGGCAACCCTGCGGTCAAGTGTGGGATTCGCCCCGCCCACTGGGCCCTGGCCTCCGTCTCGCTCCCACGTCACGGGCGGGGTTCCCGACCTTACCCCGCCCCGTGTGCCCCCGGAGGCCGTGCTCTCGACTCGGCCCGCGCCCGAGGGGCGTGTCCGGGGCGGGGCTGGCGCTGCCGGCTCACAGAGGGGCAGGCTTCATGCTGCCGTAGCTGGAGTTCTCAGTGCCATAGGCCTGCGGCACGCTGTAAATCCCCGACATCGGCTTCCAGTGGGGGCCGCTCCAGGGCACCTCCAGCGGGCAGAAACGGTCGAGCCGGAGGAGCGGGTGCAGCGGGGGTCTGTAGGACTCCTGAGCCAGAGACAACGCCCCGTGGTGTGGCACGGCTGTCGTCCCGGGATGGACATGGGGCACGCGCATCCCTGGCGGCCGAGAGGCGCGCGGCCAGGGTGGCCTCTGTGGGTCATGGCCCCAGGCCTGAGGCGCCTTCTCAAAGCTCCAGTAGGTCAGCGAGTCCTTGCGGGGATATCCAGACAACTCCTTCCTCTTGGTGAGGGAGGCAGGAGAGGGAAGACCCAGTTGGATCCTAGGGACAAGGCTGAGGTTCAGACCTCGCGTTCTAAGGAGCCTGTAGACCTGAACTCCTGCGTTTCGAGGCAAGAACACGTTTGTAGGATTCGGGGACCCCTCAGAAAGGATGGGGGCTGGGGACTCCTAACCTGGATTCCTGGATCTCGAGGTCCTTAAGGGCCTGGAATCTGGAGTTTTCGAATCCTTGGGAAAGAGTATCTGGGAACCAAAGTAGGTCCCGCCCTAGACCCTTAGGGCCCCGCCCCTGGTCCCGAACCCCTTCTTGGGCAAGCGGCAGGTTTCGTATTCCTGAGAGTTGACACTAAGGATACCTGGGTGCTAAAAAAAAAAAAGGTAGGGTTTGGGGTCTGAACTTCTGGTTCTTGAGCGTGCGGGAGCTGAAGGCTGAGGCTCCTGAGTCGGACAAGGGGGAGCCGACACCCGGGTTCGGCGTCGCACCGGCCTATATGCTGGGGGCGGTGCCGAGCGAGGACCCAGGCTCACTTTGGGTAGGCCCGGAAGTCCTTGGCTGAGGTGGTCAGATAGAGCTGATGACGGTCCAAGACGCCCTGGTCAGATACTGTGAAAGACCGGCCGGCCAGCTCGGGGTTCTTCGTCCAGGGGATTAAAGCCTGAGGAGGATCCGGGAAGGACGGAATGAGCTAGAAAGAGGTTTCATACCGCACTGTAGGCCCTGGGTCCCAGACTCAGGATCCCTTCTCCTTCGACCCAACAGCCCTCACACCCGCCCCCAGAATCCGAATCCTTCCCGACCAATCGCAAGCCAGCGCACTTGAGCTTCGCTCCCCAAATCAGAACCCTTATTAGGGTTACTCCAAAATCCAAACTTGCGGGTCATCGAACACAAAGCCCAGCCCCCAACCACAAAAACAAAACAAAACAAAACAAAAATAACCTTCCCAGCTCCGCCCCCAGACTCCTGGCTTCCACCTCCCGCCACCGGAATTCAGCCGCACCTCCCGCAACCGTTCTCCTTAGCTCGTCCACTCCGGGAAAGCCTAGCCCCGCCTCCCGACCTCGGCTCGGAAAGTTCAAGACCCGCCCCCACGTACCGTCCGCCGCCGAGCTCGGACCCGGGCCTCAGAACCCCCTCCCAGCCCCGCCCCAGGATTCACTGGTTGTGGCCCCAGCCTCAGAGGTGGGATTTCGGTCTCCAGCCCCCTCCTTCTCCTGACCCTACCTCAGAAGGTCCAAGCTCCGCTCCCAGACTCTGTAACCTGATTCCGTCCCAGACCTTTTGGCCACGACCCCAGACTGAAAATTCTCCACCCCAGGGTCTCCTATCCTGGTCCCTAGCTTCAGAGCCCCTCCCGTCCCGCCCCAGGCGCTATGAGCTCTGTCCCACGGCGGCCGCGGGTCTTCTCCGCTACCTGGGAAGGGCCTCCGCGAAGGTGCTCCGCAAGCTCCAGGGGCTGGGGCCCGACGTAGAAGGTGGGGCGCTGCTGATCCGGCTCGGGCCAGCCCGTGTACTGCGCCCTGGTCTCGCTGCACTGGTGCTTTGTGATCAGCGGGAGGCGCCAGCCGCGGTGTCTGAGCTGCGGGAAGGCGACGCGGGGATCCACTGTGAGGGCGCACGGTACTCCAGGGCGAGCCCCAGCTCCGTCCCCTGCGGACCTCTGCATCCCAGAACCTTACCTTTTCTTCTAAATCCTTGATCCCCATAGTCCGCGTGGGGTCCGAAGGCTCTGGGGCCCTGGGCTGTGCGTAGGGCCCGCCGTGGGTCTTAGGCACGTAAGCCGAGCCAGAGGTTGTCTCCCATCTGCTGATGACCTCGTCAAAATCCCAGATGTGCAAGTCCTGCTTTGCGGCCGGCGGCAGGGGCTCCGCGACCGTGGACTGGGGAGAAGGACGTCAGCTAAAACGGTTCAAGTCCAGCCCGCGAGCCCTGATCTCTCCCAGTCGGTCCCCAACCCTTTGCTCCCTCCAGGTCCAGGCGTCCAGGTTCCCTGGGCCCTCTTCTTTCAGACCCAGGACTCGGGGACCCTCCTCCTTCAGTCAGAGAGGCGTCCACGCCCCGAATCCACTTTTCTCTCAGCAGGTGTCTGGACCCCCAGGCCTCTCCTGCAGACACGGGAGCCTGGGCCCCTAGTCTCCTCCTGGCCAGGAACCTAGGGTCCTCTCACCTGCACAGTGGGCGGGGGAAAGGGCACAGACGCAATAAGGCGGTGGGCGACACCACTGCTGCCGAGATGCCCGCTGGGCCAGGAGCCAGGCACCTCGGTCCCAGAGACTGGGGGCCGTGGGGGACCGTAGCGCAGAGCCAGGGTCCGACCCGCCATGGTCCCAGCCCTGCGGGGTAGCCACGCAGGGGCAGGCTTGTTGTTGCTGTTGCCCAGGTAACAGAACCCGCGCGCCGCCCCCCCCCGCCCCCGAACTCAGCCAATGGAAGGGCCTGCAGGTGTGCGGATGGTTGGATGGAGAAAGAGACCCAAGCACAGAGGGAAGGGCGCAGAAACTCAGAGAAATGGGGGAGGGGAGTCCCAGAGAGAGAGAAAGAGAGAGAAGGGCAGAAAGAGGGAGGCGGGAGGAAGGGGGAAGAGAAGCTCAGAGTTGCAGGGAATTTTAGAGACACAGAGACTCCAGGTTGGGGGAGACGGAGACCCAGAAGGGGAGGAGGACAGAGACCACCCACCGCCATCAGGGAATCCATGAGAAACAGCCCCCTTTCCTACAGGGTCCCAACTCTCTTAGCCCCCTCCTCCCTCTGCCAGTCCTGCCTACCTCAGGGGTAACGATTTCCAGACTTCCCCAGGGCTCACCCTCCCTCCCTCCCTGTGTGCGCTGAAGGAGTCAGCCCGGGGCTTGGGCTTCGTCTGTCCTGCCTGCCTTTGATTTGGTTGAAAACTTCCACCTGGATATGGGGGTGGGTGACGAGGGAGAGACCCGCAGACACATACACAGGCAAATACTTAGCAAAAAGAGAGGGGAGGGGATGTCGAAAGAGCTTTGATGAGAAAGACAGACGAGAACGGGTGAGAGACAGTGAATGAGAAACAGGGAGCTACTGACCCAGGGACAAGAGACAGAGAGGGAGGTGACAAAAAAGAGTGGGAACCACAGACCTAGAAACACAGCGACGTAGAAACAAAGGCAGCCAGACCCGGCCCAGCCCTGCCACCCCTACCCTTCCCAGGGGCCCAGTCTGTGTTGGCGGGGGATGGGGGATGTCTATGGTTTCAGTCTTTAGCCTAAAGCCGGTTCTAAAAGAATGTGTGTGTGTGTGTGTGTGTGTGCGCGCGCGCGCGCGCAGGCGCATGCACACGCGCGTTGGCAACAGGCTTAAGATATGGACCGGTGATACAGGAAGGGGTATCCTGAAGGTGTGGGGTCTGCCCCTGACTTCCCTTGTCACTTGCTTGCCTTAAAGGCCTTTTGGTCAAGCCTCTGCCTTCTCAGCTCCCACTAGCTCATCCCACTAACCCATTCTTCAGATGGGGAAAACTGAGGCTGCCTTCTGCAGCCTGGCCCCTGGTCCCACTGAACCCCTCATTCAGGCCTCTGGGGCCGTTTCTCCTTTTGGATTTTCCTGGCCCACTCAAAGCCTATCACTGTCCACATGACCCCTGATCCTAGCCTGGCGTCAGGTCAATTGGTCAGAACCTTATGCCATACTCAAGGCTGACAATTCTAAGGTCTATTTCTTTCCCAATATGGGGTAAAAGTTGGGACAGAAAAGGAGGCAGAAACCTGACACCAACTCCCCAACAGTGTTAAACTCTCTAGCATCCTGACCTCTTATCATTCAACCTTGCTTGTGCTCCTTCTGTGATGGGTAGCTCACTGCCTCAAAACAGAACATTCTAAGCCAACACTCGCCGCATATGACCAAGTAAGATTTCTCATTCAAATCCCAGCCCACAGCTAGTTGCTTACGTGTCCGTTTTTACACTCCCCCACCCACTTCTTGACATATCACTTCCTTGTCATTCTCTCCAGGGTGAGCAAGATGTCCTCTGAAATCAAGTGGTTAGCAACTTAGAAGCCGAGGTTCCTCTGATGGTTAAATCCACCAGAGTTGATCTGAAAAATTGTGTATTAGTGTTGATAAACAGTAGACACTCAGAAAATATTGGATATTATCATCGTCATCACCCTCAAGTTCATCCAGAAGAACTCCTATTCATCCTTCAAAACCCCATTTGGTTTCACCACCTGTCTTGCATCGATTTAGCTCTCCAACTCAGAAAGCTGTGATTTTGTGACCATTTCACAAGTTCTCAAACCGAGGCCCAGAGCAGCCAGGCCGCCCCTGAGGTCCCTCAGCATCCAGCTATCTTCTTCCTCTGCCTGCCCAGTTCCTGAGCATGGGCCTCAGGCCCGACCAGTCCGGCTGAGGAGTGTACAGACGCACGCAGTGTCAATTCGAATCCATCGCCAGCCTACACGGCCCTGGGCATCAGCGGTCAATGCCCGCACGTAGGACTGCTTGGCCTTACACTCAGACACCCAGTGCCTCCGGTCCACACCCCGGCACCCACCCCCACCCCCACCAGGGCCACTTTCCTCGGTGGCGCTGTCAGCCTTGCAGCGGGTCTCAAAGAAGTACTGGCGGAGGGGGCTGCCTCCAGCTGCAGGAACCTCGCCCAGCACCTCCACCTCACGCCCACGCAGGTCCACAGCTGTCCGTCGGTCTGTCACCCAGCCGCTGACCGCATCACACACAGCCAGCTCTCCCCGGCGACTTGCTGGTGCTGTCTCGCTCACCCCTCGCCGACTGCGGTTGGCGGGGCTGCCTGCTGGCTCCCCAAAGGCCCCGGCCTCCAGCAGGAAGAGTAGAGGGGGCCCAGCGGGGGCACCCCTAGACAGGACTACTCGGGGGGACAGGAGGTCCCACTCAGGGGCTAGAAATGGGGGCAGTGGTAAGGGTGGGGGATGGGGCTCCATTGGGACACTGGGGAGGAGGAATAGGAGGAGGACGGGGAGGGAGCAGGAGGGGCTGGGGAGCATCTCGCTGAGCACCTGAGGGTAGAGAGGGAAGCTGGGGTTAGAGATGAGGATAAAAACTTAGTGGGGGAGGGGGGCGGAGGTTGGGAACCCCAGGGGGACCTGAATTCCAGAACCATGGGGAGGCCCTTGTTCTAGAACCTCGGAGGGACCTTATATTCCAGGACTTAGGTAACACCCAACTTCTAGATTAATCATAATTATTCTACTACTATTGCTAATAATAGCCAACAAATCAGCAAAGGGAGAAATACTGGCTCAGAGAGGTGAGCCAGATCACAGAGCCAGCAAATGCCCGAAGTGGGACTTGAGCCCTGTCAGAGCAACTCCACCCTGCATCCTACCCCTACCTACAACCCTGAGGGACCCTAAGTCCTACAGCCTAGAGGAGGTTTGAGGTTCCAAAATTCTGACAAAAGCCATGTTCTGGTATCCTAGCAAGACCCAAGTTCAGCTCAAAACTGCCACTGAGAAGGCAAGATATTTCCTCTCCTGTGTGGGGCCTCAGTTTCCCTGTCCAAGAAATAAACCAAGGGGGACACCTGGGTGGCTGAGTTGGTTAAGCGTCCATCTGCCTTCGGCTCAGGTCATGATCCCAGGGTCCTGGGATTGAGTCCTCCCTCAGGCTCCCTGCTCAGCGGGAAGCCTGCTTCTCCCTCTGCCTGCCACTCCCCCTACTTGTGCTGGCTCACTCTCTCTGACAAGTAAATAAATAAAATCTTAAAAAAAAAAAAAAAAAATGAACCAGGGGCTGGGAGATAGTGGTGAGGGTGTGGATCCTACAGTTTCTGTGCAATATTCTGGAAGTCTGTGGTTCTGGGAAAGTGGTGTGGAGAGAAGTGGGAAGCAGCAGGTGGTTACCAGACCTGTCAGCACCTCCTCCACCTCCAGGCTCCAGTGCTGGGGGCCCCCAGGCTCTGGGGTGCCCCTGTGGGGGACACAGGTGGTCCCCTCTTTCCTGACATCTCGGGAGAGGGAAGGGGCAGCCACCTAGGGGAAAAAGGGAACAGGCAGGTTGTGTGGGCAAGTGGGGGAGGGAACCTGAGCACTCCCCTTCCCAGGATTCCTCTTAAAGTGTAGGGTACCCAAGAGGCAAGGCCGCGCCCCCTTCCCCGGAGGCCCCTTCCTTGACCAGGTGATGGCTCCTGGCTGGGATGGGAAGCAGATGGGGGAGGTGAAGGGAGAGGCGGGTGTGGGGGGGAGGGGGCGGGGGGATAGAGGAGGCTGGAAAAGATTACATCCTCCACGGCCCATTCATCTCCCAGACAGGGCGGGGGTGGCGCTGGTCTGGACACCCGGGTCCCTGAGGGCCCACACTCAAGAAGCCCTGGGTCCCTGAGGCTGCTTCCTGGAATGTTCTATCCTCACAGGACAGGCCGGGGCCCGTCCAAGACTTCTACCGCACATACCTGGAGTAGCTGCCTGCCTTGGCTCCGAGATGGGGAAATGGAAAGAAGGCTGTGAAGGGACCCAACTGCGCCGATCCAACCAGGACCAGAAGTCGGCTACCTCCTCCCTCAGACCAGAAGTCCCGGTTCCCTGCCTCCTCCTCCTCCTGGAGGTCAGATCCCCAGCTCCCTCCCTCCCATGCTGGAGTCCAGGCGCCCAGCGCCCTCCTCCCTCAGACCGAGGAGTCCAGACCCCCCAGCGCCCTCCTCCCTCAGACCTGGGAGTTCTGGAGTTCGGGACTCTCTTCCCCAGGTATCCAGAATTACGTACTCCCAGCCCCCTTCTCCCAAAGAGGATTTGGGCTGGGGGTCTGGTCTCCTGAGATCCCGCTGGGGGTAAGCGGCTGCATATCTGGAGGACTCCGCTCCTGCCTCAGTTTCCTCCGCCAAGCCCCGCCCCCGCTGGCCCCGCCCCCGTCCCTCCCTACCCGGGGGCAGGGCGACCGGGACGCCGGAATCCCGGGGGGGGGAGGAGGCGCGGAGAGGCTCTCACCTGGGGCGCCCTCTTCGGCTCCTCCGCTGCCCCGGGCGCGGCGCGGCTCCTCCTCCCGCTCGCTGGCTGCAGGGACGCCCGCTCGCCCGCCGGCTCCTTGCCGCACACTCTCCGGAGGGCCCGGGCGGGGGCGGGGCGGGGCGGCGCCCGACGGCGGAGGAGGGGCCGGGGGGTCCCGCCTTCCACGCGCGTCCCGAGACCTCGGCAGCCCGGCCTGGCTCGCTCAGCTGCTGGCCCGCCTCAGCCCCGGGAGGCCAGGCGCCAGCCCCCTCCTCCCTCACACCCAGTAGTTCTCACCCCCACCCCCTCCTCCCTCAGACCCGGGAGTCCGGGCCCCCAGCCCCTCCTCCCTCAGACCCGGGAGTCCGGGCCCCCAGCCCCATCCTCCCTCACACCCAGTAGTTCTCACCCCCAGCCCCTCCTCCTTCAGACCCGGGAGTCCGGGCCCCCAGCCCCTCCTCCCTCAGACCCGGGAGTCCGGGCCCCCAGCCCCATCCTCCCTCACACCTAGTAGTTCTCACCCCCAGCCCCTCCTCCTTCAGACCCGGGAGTCCGGGCCCCCAGCCCCATCCTCCCTCACACCCAGTAGTTCTCACCCCCAGTCCCGTCCTCCCTCAGACCCGGGAGTCCTCACCCCCAGCCCCTCCTCTCTCAGACCCGGGGGTCCTCACCCCCAGTCTCGTCCTCCCTCAGACCCAGGAGTCCTGACCCCCAGCTCCCTCTTTCCTTAGAGTCCGGAGTCTGGGCCTGAGATTTCTTTGCATTCTTTTGCCAATTAAGTGTCAATCTCTGGGCGGATTCCCACCCTCTGCTCTCATCCTCACTTTCCCAGGAGCTCAAGGCCAGACATTAACCAGCTGGACTTGGGCAGTGATAAGACCCGAGGCCCTGGGAGACAGTGGATATGGGGGGGTTCTCCCACAGAGTCCTCTCTGCTGGAATTTCCTGGGTGGGGACTGGGGAGAAGGTCTGTCCTGAGCTCAGATAAGAGAAATTCAAGGTATTATTGGACTTGGAGATAGACAAGGATTTGATGTGGGAACACAATGACCCGCTCAGTGAAAAAAAATGAATAGTGACAAAGGGAGATGGGAAAGGCACAGAAATGGAGAGAAAGGGGGGACAGAAACTCAGAGGACAGATGCTTGAGAGAATGGGACAGAATCCCAGGAGGGGGGACCGAGACCCAGTGAGAAGAGAGAGACCCTAAGACAGACTGAGGTCAGTTGGAGTTGGGAGTCCCAGGCCCTTCACCCCTCTCCCGGAGCTATTTCAGTAGGAAAGGTGACACCTATCTTGGGAGGGGCGGGGGGGTCATCCCATTCCCCTCCCTCAGCCTAAATATAGCATGGCAAGGTGGCCGGAAGGGTGTCCCCGGATTAGGGTGTTCCCCTCTCCTTTTCCCCATCCCAGCCAAGGCAACGTAGAAGGCTGTAGAAGGTGGCTGTGGGTTGTTTATTGAGGGTGGGGGAGGGGCACGTCCCCATCTGAGTGTCCCCTCAGGTCACCTCCCTGACCTCTCCACACTCCCCCCCCCCCCCGCCGCCATTCCTAAGCAGCCAACAGGTCCCACCCCCTACCAGAGAGACTCTATATGACTTCCAGTCTCAGATGGGATAGTACAGGTGAGTTTTCAAAGAAAAGTAGAACAGTTTGGGCACGCCTCCTCTTTCTTTGGGTCTCTGTCCCCTCTCCCTCTCTGTCTGGGCCTCTACCCGCCTCCCTCTCTCTGGATCTCTGACCTCTCCTCTCTGGTTGCTTTCCCAGCCTCTGTGGATCTCTGTCCTGCCCCCGCAGGGGTCTCTGACCCCCTCCCAGGTCACTGCCCTCCTGCTCTCCCTCCTTCCCTGGGGTGTCCTCTCTCCAGGTCTTGGCCCCTCCCTGCATGTCTCCCCTCCTCTTCGGGTCTCCATGCTGGGTCCCAAACTCTGTGTCTGCCACTGTGAGGGGGTCTGTCTCCACTTCTGTCTCCAGATGCGCCTTTCCATTTCAGAGGGAAGGGACCACCTACAGATGCTATGGTTTTCGACCTTTATAAAACTCTTCCCACCATCTGTACCTTCTTCCGTCGCTCTGTATAAAAAGGGGGTTGGATTAAATGGGGCGTTTCCAGACTGAATTCCTTAGCTGCATTTTGAGTTGCCAAGGAGGACTCCATAGATGTGTGTGTCCCTCAAACCAGGCTCCTTCTGATGTGCCACACTGCATCAAAGTAAGATTTCATTTGACCCAAAAAGGGAGGGGGGCAATAGCTAAAAATAACAACAACAACACTCTGTAAACCACTGGTTTTAATAAATTAATACAAGTAAAGTACTTTGGATGATGCTTTGGCACATAGGAAGCCCTATATGTTAGTGATTGAAGCATCCTGCTCTCCTTCCTCCTCCAACCGCCCTTTTAGTACTGTAAGCCCTCGGAAAATGTTTGGCTTCCTGCCCTTGGGTCCCACCCTCCCCTCTGAGCCTCAGTTTCGTTGTGAGCATCGAGGCTGGAGAATACCAGCAGGCTGATGGGACAGGTGGGGTCAGGCAGCCTGCCATAAATCCTCGCTCGTGGGGATGTGCCACGAGACCCTGGGAAGCCACTCCCATGCTCTAAGACTCTGGTTTCTCCCCTGGAAAAGAGAGTGGGCTCCCCAGTTTGTCTGACATCCTTCCTGAGCTGTGGGAGGATAGGGTGGAGCTCCCTGATTTGGGATCTCTTTGTGATTCCATGGAAGAGAGACTGTGTATCTCTTGGGTTCAGAGGCACTGACTTTTTCTGCCTCTTCCTTTTTTGGTTATCTTTCTCGGGGGTGCTCTGGTCTGGCTCCAACTCTGGTGACTGTCCCTCTCTGGGTGCCTGACACACACCCCCATCTCCATCCCACTCTTGGTCTCTGGCTCCCTTTCTCTTTGGAGTTTCTGACCCCCTTCCTCTGGGTCTCTGTCTCCCCATCTCTCTGGGTCTTTGTCTTCATCTCCTTCTCCCTAAATCTCTCTTCCTCCCTCTTTGGGTTCTTGTTCCCTCTTCTCTGGGTTTCTGTCTCTTTCTTTCTCTGAGTCTTTATCACTCCCGAGGTCTCTGTCCCCTCATTTGGGTTTCTGTCCTCCCCCCACCCCCATCATGCCTGTACAAAGTACAGTTTCTCCCCCTTTCCCCTTCCCTTGTGGCTCTGATCTCCATGGTTGGAAGCAAAACCGTAGGGAAGGACAGCTAGAGAGGGTATGAATGGCAAAATGAAGCAGGTGTGGAGCAAATGGAAGGAGTGTCTACATCTTCCTAGCTCACCCGGAGGCCCTCTGCACGAACAACTGAATCAAGGGATCCAGCACCCAGCCCTGCCCCTTATAGTAAGTGGTGCTGGGCAAGTCAGTTCAGTTTGTCTCGCAGAGTCCATAACACCACACTTGCCTCCTGACACATGATTCCTCCCCGGTGTTGTTATTCTTGGGTCCTGGTGCTACCACTAAATGCAAAACAAACCAACATGGCCCTATGGCGTCCATATGCACAGTCCAACTCAACCTAACATTCCTACAGGACTCACAATGACACAACTCACCTCAGCATAGCCCTACAAGAATCACATGGTTACACAGTTCAATATGATTCATCTCAGTGTAGCCCCCAAAACTTCCAGCGACATGACTCTACACAATTCAACCCAACAGAACCCTGGAAGACTCCTACTGTCATACGTTCCAACCCAGCTTAAACTAACGTGACCTAGAAAGCTCACATTCAATCACTTGACTCTTCATATTTCTACATGACTCACAAGTTCACAGAATCTAAAATAACATAGCCCTAGAAGAATCGCAAAGCCACACAATTTCCAACATGTCTCCACAACACCATGCATGAACATGCACACAGTCCCAACAATGCCGTGGGTGACCACCTAACTTGATCCAAAATGGTCCTAGGGGACTCATAAAGCCACAGAATCCTGCACAATGCAATTGGACAAGACTCACCCAGACTCAACAACACAGCCCAACCCGATGAGGACCTAAAAAACAAAACTATGTGATCAAATCTATCTCAACACTTAACCACAAAAGGCTCCACAAGCCTTGCACAGCCCAATGCAGTACCAACCAATGGAGCCGCCCCATCAACTCATTATAACTCACTGCCATTCACCGTCACTTAAGGAAGCACCCACAGGAGCTACTAACGACAACTCAAGACCCAACAAGACTCAGTGTTCCCCAACTCATTACCATTAACCTGGTTCTTCCTAAACCCAACCCCCTCCCCCTAACTTTCCCTTCTATCCCTCCCTCCCTCCCTCCAAGGAAATGTAAGGTCCTACAGACCTCAACTGTCCCTCACACTTCGGTGACCATGTGTTTCCCAGGGGGTGCCCAGAGTGGAGGTGGTAGCTCAGGCATCTCCCCATCCATCAATCCCCCATTGACCTTGCCCTCCAGTGGGCCACAGGGCTGCATGTCCACATGGCTGTACATCCCGGCCTCTTCGCCCTCTGTCTCCCGGTGGTAAAAGTAGCTGAAGTTGGAGACAATGACCGGAACGGGCAGAGAAATGGTCAGCACCCCAGCGATGGCGCACAGAGAACCCACTATTTTGCCACCCACAGTGACGGGTGCCATGTCTCCATAGCCAACTGTGGTCATGGTGACCACCGCCCACCAAAAGGACTCAGGGATGCTGGTGAAATGGGAGTCTTCCCGGTCGACCTCAGCAAAGTAGACTGCGCTGGAGAAGAGGACCACACCGATGAAGAGAAAGAAGATGAGGAGACCCAGCTCACGCATGGAGGCCCGTAGTGTCTGGCCCAAGATCTGCAGGCCCTTTGAGTGCCGGGACAGCTTGAAGATTCGGAAGACGCGCACCAGTCGGATGACTCGTAGGATGGCCAGTGACATGGCCTGCTGGCCCACACCCCGCTGCCTGGCTAGCTCGGTGCCTAGCGCCACAAAGTAGGGTAGGATGGCCACAAAATCGATGAGGTTCATCACGTTCTTGAAAAAGGCCGCCTTGCTTGGGCAGGCCGCCAGGCGCACCAGGAGCTCAAAGGAGAACCAACAGATACACAACGTCTCCACCACAAAGAACGGGTCATCGAAGGGCATGCGAGACAGGGGTCCAGGCACTGGGCTGGAGCCATTCAGCCGAGCGGGGAACTGCAGGGAGGAAGGGGTTCAGAGAGGACCACACCAGGGCTGGGACACACTGGAACAGCCACATTTGTGATTTAAATGTCCAACTACTTCTGTACAAATTGGTCAGCAGTCATTGCCCCCAGGCCTCCAGTGACCCAGCCGTCCTAGATTCCTTTCCGGAACCCTAGGGATCATGCCTGCGTGGCTGACTTTATAGTCCCCGATCCTTCACTGGTGGAGACTCCTGAAATGGTGCCTGAGTGAGGCTCCATCTCTTCTTCCTTCCCAAAGTCCCACCCCCGGCTTTGATTTTCCAGATGGGGGAGGGCCGCCACCCAGGTCCCACTTCCTTGCGCTCTGCCCTCCCTAACCGCAGTCCAGACTACAACGGCTAAAGACCTTCTTTGTACACCAAACCCGGGGGCCGCTGCTCTCATGGCCCTCGGCCTGACTTTATTTGTGACGGATTCTTCCTACCTCGGCCCCCTGTCTCCAGCTCCCTCGAGTTCCACTCTCACCACCTCCAGCCCATCTTTCTATTGGTTCCTGCCAGCCGCACAGACCCCCGATTTTTCAGTCTCTCAACCCTCAGCTTCATTTCTTAACGTCCGGGTCTTCCTGCCCTCCCGCCCTCGGCAAGCCATTTTCTCACCTGTCTCAACCCCGCCCTGCAATAGGGAGGTCCTCCTAGTCAGATCCTCAGGCCCCGCCCCCATGAGGCTATCCCTTCTCCGCCCCCAGCCCGCCTTTAAAAGGGTAGATTCCCGCCCCCCCCCGCTCCCCCGCCCCCCCGCCTCCCGGTCAGGCCCTGTCCCTGGGTTGTCCACCTCTCGAGGCCCTGGCCCCACCTATGACTGGCCTGTCTCCCAACAAGCCCCTCAATGCCCCGCCCACCCACAGCCGGGCCCCTCCTTCCTGAGAGGCCCCGCCTCCCAACGCCCCCGCTCGACTCCTCCCGAGCCCCGCCTCCCTCCACCCAGGCCACGCCCCCTCACCGGGCCAGCAGCCGCTACCGCAGCAAGCCCCGGGTTGTAGCGGTCGTCGCGGAAGTCCGGCAGCGTCTCGAGGCAGAAGACGACGATGGAGACGAGGATGACGAGCACGGAGACGACGGCGAGCACGCGCGCGGCCTGCGAGCTCTCGGGGAACTCGAAGAGTAGCCAGAGCTGGCGCGCGAAGGCGCTGCGGGGCAGGGGGCGCTCGGGCGGCAGGGGGCAGCCCTCGTCCTCGCGCAGGCGCGCCAGCGCCGCCGTGCCCAGCCCGTAAAAGGCCACCTCCTCCAGGAAGACGTCGAGCGGCACGTGCGCCGGCCGCCGCAGCCGCCCGCCAGACTGGTAGTAGTAGAGCACCGCGTCGAAGCTGGGCCGGTGCCGGTCAAAGAAGTACTCGCGGCGCACGCCGTCGTAGAAGCGGCCGCGACGCGCAGGGTCCCCTAGCAGCGTGTCCGGGAAGCGGCCCAGGGTGCGCGCCCGCGTCTCGAAACGCAGCCCGGCCACGTTGAGCACCACCCGCTCGCAGCACCCGCACGGCGGCGGGCACCGCGGCTCCATGGCGCACGCAGCCCCGGCGACCCGCGGACGGACGTGTGGCCCCGACGCCCGACCCGGCCGGCCCG